GATGGGCGTAAAAGGTCAAAGGTGTGTGTGTGTGTGTGTGCGTGTGTGTGTGTGCCCCCCCCCCCCCTACCCCCCCCCCCCCCATTCATGCATGTAGCGTCTTCTTTCGGCTTGACAGTCAATCTGGTAATGGCTGCTGGATATGGACTCACGGAAGCAGACAGGCTGCCCCTGGACGTGGAGGGTGAGGTGGTCGAGTGTGTAGATAGTTTCCGTTATCTTCGCTCTCTCCTCCACACGAATGGCCGATCCACCCCAGATATCAGCTCGCGCATTGCCGGTGCATCACGTGCATTTGGAGTCCTGCGCCATGCCAGCCGGTTTTCACTGACAGCAACCTCTCACTTGCTACGAAGCGGCTTGTGTACGGGGCATGCGTGTTGTCTCTGCTTCTGTACTGTGCTGAGTGCTGGGTGCCGTTGAAGCTCGACCTTGATACACTGTGCTCTTTCCATCTACGCTGCATCCGTTCCGTGATGAGTATCAGCCAACGGAATGTCTGGGACGAACGACTGACCAGGGTTGATGTTCTGGAGCGGTGAAATCCGAGTCAGCCCCGTGACATCCCCAGCCTGCTGACATCGCGCAGCATGGCCCGAGGTGGCTTGGGCATGTTGTGCGAATGCATGAGGAGCGTGCCCCACGTCAACTACTGTTTGGCACCCTACATCCTGTCCGTCCAATGTGCCGTCCGAGGAAAAGGTGGCGCGATGCTGCGCGGAAGGATCTGGCAGCGTTGGGCATCGACGAATGGTCTGAATGGCCAAGGGTAGACGGGAATGGCGGGCCGCTTACAATGTTCTGCCCCCGCCCGAACCCGTTTGTGAGCCCCTGCAGATACCTTGTGCCGCGTGTGGCCGTCTCTTCTCCAGGAGTGGTTTGCCTCGTCATAAATGCCTCGATGAGCGCCGCAAACCCGTATCAGAACAGCGAGGTAGCCGACAATGTTCTTCCTGCGAGCGCTGGTTTTTCGCAGTGCCGGAGGTTTGGCGGTCCACAAGTGCCCCAACTCCCGGATGCTCCCCGCGGCGTCGTCTCGGGCTCCGTGCCGGGCGGCGGTGTCTACCATTTCTGCTCAGGCTACTCCTCCGCCGCCGCGTGTGCGGCTCGCCATGCTGCAAGGCCCACTGTGGGGTCTGTGGTCGGTGCTGCCGCTCTACTCGTGGATTCCAAATCCATAGCTGCCAAAGATGGCTCTCTCGTCGTGCCGATTGAACTTGGTCCCTGATCTCTTGGCAGACTGCCGACTTTCTGCCGTCGCTCGTCGTTTCCATGTTGTCGGCCCCGCAAGGGGACACGTTACCGTACTGGCAGTGTTTACCAGGACCAGGACCAGGTGTGTGTGTGTGTGTGTGTGTGTGTGTGTAGGCATGGGCGGGTAATGCTAGCATTATGGCTGGCATTATAGTCCCTTTTTTCAAGGTGGTATATTGCTGGCATTATAACACCATTTCGCTTCCAAAATTGGCATTACAAGCATAATTGCCGGTCAACAACGGTGTCATGCATGGAGCTGGCAAAGTCTAGTTCCGAAAATCGTGCATCTGAACCCGTCTGGCTTCGTCCGGAGACTTGGCCTTGCAAATCAACCTTCTCAGGGGATTGTTTCAGACAACATGCTCACTGATGTTTAAGTTTTTCTTCTTCTACACTTCGGCCTTGATCCAAGACGGCCTTTTTAAATCGACTTTTCCAACTTTCAAACTGGCATTATGGAGTAGTGTGAGCATTATAAGTGGCATTATATCCTCATATTATGAGCATTGCCTTTAGCATTATCGCAGCAAAAAAAACTAGCATTACCCGCCCATGCCAATGTGTGTGTGTGTATGTGTGTGTGTGTGTGTGTGTGTGTGTGTGTGTGTGTGTGTGTGTGTGTGTGTGTGTGTGTGTGTGTGTGTGTGTGTGTGTGTGTGTGTGTGTGTTATCATGATGAGCAGTTATGACTAAATCAGACAAACACACACTTTTATTGTACTACATACACACACACACACACACACACACACACACACACGTGACCAAGGTTGTCAGCAGTAACTACACGTCACTTGCTGTCATTACATGCAGTGTTGCTGGTCAAGTGGTGTCTGCAAGGGTAGTATGGTCCACTCTAGTCAGGCAAGAACCTACTACGGGAAGTAGGAAAAGGAGCGAGGGAAAGAACGACGGTTAAAGATTATGAGAGACGGAAAATCAGTAAATGAATGAATCAGTGTTGTTCGAGTGTAGTTTTGATCATAACTACTATACATGTTCACACAGTTCATTATCCAGATCCAAGTTGTGTACATCAACCCAGTGAATGTTAGAGACGGGACTACATGATGTATTTACCTACTTTTCAGTATGGTGTGTGATGGTTGAGATGTCCGTATTGACTACAGACCTTGTGTGTTGTACAGTGTAAACCTTGATCGATCTCGACCTGGAGTAGGTCCAGTGTGACTACGACCATGAGCAACGTGTGTGTAAACAAAACCAACCTGGACACCAGTATAGCAGCAGTCAACGGAGAACAGGGACTGACTAAGGGATCGCATATCATTCACCATCCACATCACACCATCGCCTGCGGGGACCATGCTGAGAACGCATTGCACGGAGCTGTCCAAACATACCAAACTTTGACATACGCTTGTCATACATCCGTGCTATGTGTCCAAGCTAGCCTAATCCATTCTCCCTGCTGATGCCTGCTACTTTGTAGCAATCTATGTGGTGTGTGTTGGCAGGTATCAGGGTAGTGGAGATGACTTGATGGTGGCACTGCTGCTCTTGCCGTGACTAATGATCATACATGTACTGTAGATACTGGAAATGTAACAGATGTCTTCCCAGTACAACTCTCCACTATATACACTGGAGAGTAGTGAACACTAAATGTGATGTACACTTGACATCCACAACAAACAGATCATGAGTACAAAGATAGAGGAAATGAACAACGTTTTTCTTTCTGAAACTGAGTGGCTTGGAAATCATCACACCCTGTGCTTCTGCTGCAAGATTTACAACTGTGTCTATAGAGTTTATGCTGCATGCTTCACAGGCAGGTCAATCCATGGCTAGGGATAACGGATATAGCTGGTTAGTATATCGGCTAGCGCTATCTGATGTAGCAATCAGCTATGTATGAATGTCAGTCTCAACGAGGTGGCAGGAAAAGTACTGGGTGAACAGTATCGTCTTCAACACGCAAATTAGATCCGTTACCAACGGTAGTCTCAGCTTTCACATACAGATGCATACTTGTTACTGAGGCAGACAGGTGTTGAAAATGTATTCGTAAATCCTACTAGATTTGTACTGCTGGGGACAACTACCAAACAAACATAACCTAAAAAAAAGATAACACTCTTGTAGCGACACAATCAGCATACGTTATTGTTACAGTACTTCTGTGATATTTCCACTATTGTCACATTGTCTTGAGTAGCAGACAATTCTCGCACATCCTACCAATGTTCTTGGGTGAGGTGTGAATTTTTTAACTGTAGGATATTTCTGTTTGTGTAAATCACACCAGTAGGGAACTTCCCCTATATATAGTCATGTAGTCTTGCGGTCTTTAATTTCACATTTCATTTTCATTCTTTATGATGGTTCTGATGACAGACACGTTTGATCATTCACTTGAAAACGAATCGCTGTGACTCGCAACCGTTGAGTGTCAGACAGAGTTTGCAAAGGCGCTCCATGGGACGCAGTAAAACTTGCCGCTGAGGTAGTTTATAGCTTATGCATAGCTTCGTAGCAGATCACCATCTCATCACGTGATCTCATTACGTAAATATCTGCTAACCCGACCGACCAGAGTGCCTTGTGCCAGCTATAATACTAGTAAGTAGAGGTGACTGGATGGTCGTGTGGAACAGTGCTCTCTCACTTACTTGTATTTAATATATTACTACGTCATCTCTAGGCTCAATGGAAAGAGAGGAGAATGTGAGGAGAGTGAGTGTTAGCCAACCATGGTGATAAAGATAAGTAGAGTGATATGGAAGAGTAGCAACAGCAAAACTATCAGCAACTCATGTTAGTGTATTTGTGCAATGTGCTGATAAGGACTTTTCAGAACAGTATGGAAGCGATTCAGAAAAGTTAAAACGAGGGTTGTTGCAAATGCTGAAACACACAAGATAATAATGGAAGCTCGTTTTAAAGACTGACATTCCATACGTTAGTATGACGGTATGTATGGCCAGCATAAACCATCTCTGAGTGATGCAATGTGCATAGTGACGTAGGCGAGGATGAGTGTGTCCTGTCAAGATCTTTCCACTGTGAGTTGTAGGATTGAGAGTTTAGCAGATCAGTAGATGACTACACACACTAACCTACTGTACACAGATGCAAGTGAATAGTTTAGCAATGCCGGTGACCTGTGTAATGATAGAGAATTTCTCTGTCATTCTGCTAGTCTAGTGCATACATGTCAGTATGGGAGACAGTGCTACTGTCCTCACTGCATGACTGTGGCTGATCAGTGATGATGTGTATTCTCATACTGCCTGCCGCTGCAGTACTTCAAATCATCAACAGCTCTCATGACAGATCAAAATAATCATCAACAGCTGGCATGACATGTCAAATATTCAATTGATCTTATGACAGATCAATTCATCATCAACAGCTCCTTTGACATATCAAATCATTTGCAGATGAAAAGACGTATCAGTCATGAGAACACATCTTACCAGCAATGAAGTACATTCTGCACGGTCCACGTGGTGCACTGTAAAAACACGTGGTTAGTTGCCCCCTGGTGGTGTTGTTGACAGTCCTGGACTGTCTTTCACTAGCGTCTTATCCTTTTATCATTCATTTTTACACAACACACAACGCGGAAGTATTTGTGTTTAAAAAATGTGCGAGTGTGTGTGCGCTAGTGTGTGTGTGTGCTCGTGTGTGTGTGTGCGCGTCCACATCTGCTGATGCACACCAAGCGGTGCGTATTCAATGCTTGCGTTCTGTCCCTGCTGTTGTATGGCTCTGAGTGCTGGACGCCCCTTCAACATGACCTGCAGAAGCTCTCAACCTTCAGCATGAGGTGCATCCGATCCATCCTCGGGGTCTCTCGGAGCCGGATGTGGGACGAACACATCACCAACGAAGAGCTGCTGGTGCGCTGGGGAGACTCCGAGACGATTAAAGACAAAATTGCACATCGGCGGTTGGAGTGGTTGGGGCATGTGGCGCGGATGCCGGACAACCGCATCCCAAAACAGGTACTGTTTGGCTCCTTCTTGCAGCGTCGCCCAGCACATGGCCCACGCCGCAGATGGAAGGACTGTGCTGTCCGGGATCTACGTGCCCGTGGCGTGGAGGCATCATGGTATGATGTTGCATGTGAGTCCCGCGCGAAGTGGCGCAGCACCTACCAAGAGCCTGACAATGTGCCTGAGCCTCCGCCCCGAGTGGTATGTACGGTATGCGGACGGGATTTTGCACGGAAAGGAGACATGGCTCGGCATAAATGTCTGGAGGAGCGTGCGCGGCCTGTGTCTGAGCAGCAGGGCGCCAGTCAGTGCGGGCGGTGTGGGCGGTGGCTGAGAAGCCGTGGTGGCTTGGTCCGGCATGTGTGTGCCTCAACGGTGGATGCCACAGTGCCACCTGGAACTACCGGAGCGTCGGCACCGGCGAAGGGATGTTGTGCCGCGCATTGTGACAGGTGTGGTCACTGCTTTCGCGGTGTCCGGGGACGGGGCAGGCATCGCTGTTCAAGGGTGGCGCATAGACCAACAGCAGAGGAGCGCTCAGCCTTCCAGCACGTGTGCATATGCGGCAAGCGGATGCGACTACCCGTGCACCTGGAGCGTCATCGAGCGTCGTGTCCTCTCTCTCTCTCTTCTCAAGTTTCCCAGTGATGGAATCACGTGACCCTTTGCGGCAGTGACTCTACAGGACAGGACAGGACAGGTGTGCGCGTGTGTGTTCGTGTGTGTATATGCGTGTGTGCGCTCGTGTGTGTATGAGTGTGTGTGTGCTCGTGTGTGTGTGCTCGTGGTTGCTCGTGTGTGTGTGTGCGCTCGTGTGTGTGTGTGCTTGAGTGTGCATGTAGGTGTGTGCGCTCGTGTGTGTGTGTGTGTTCTTGTGTGTGTGTGCTTGTGTGTGTGCGCGCTTGTGTGTGTGTGCGCGCTCGTGTATGCTCGTGTATAGTCTTGTGTGCTCGTGTGTTCATTTTTGTGTGTGTGTGTGTGTGTGTGTGTGTGTGTGTGTGTGTGTGTGTGTGTGTGTGTGTGTGTGTGTGTGTGTGTGTGTGTGTGTGTGTAGCAGAGGCATCTTCTGACACACTTGAGTCACCGGTTACAAATAATATGTCCTGCGAATGCTGCAGCTTCCACTGCGCCCGCTGCAACCGCTGTGTGCTATCGCGCCAAGGCATGAAACGTCACAAGTGCAGTCGTGGCTCGGCCAGAGCAACCAACACAGACCGTAGCTCCTTCTGCATGGTTTGCAATTGCGGTCGGCGTTTCAGTAGACCACAGGACCTATCCCGTCATCGCCCCCACTGTTCCGAACCTGCTCAACCCCCCCCCCCCCCCCCATGTGTCCGCATAGCCAGAATATGGCAGCGCGTCCAAGGTCCAAGGTGTGTGTGTGTGTGTGTGTGTGTGTGTGCTGGTGTGTGTGTGTGCTTGTGTGTGTGCGTGCTCGTGTGTGTGTGTGCGCGCTCGTGTATGCTCGTGTATGCTCGTGTATAGTCTTGTGTGCTCGTGTATTCATACTTGTGTGTGTGTGTGTGTGTGTGTGTGTGTGTGTGTGTGTGTGTGTGTGTGTGTGTGTGTGTGTGTGTGTGTGTGTGTGTGTGTGTGTGTGTGTGTGTGTGTGTGTGTGTGTGTGTGTGTGCCCTTGCAAAGACCCTTGGTGTGCCTGAGGACATTGGTCACATTGTATGGGAACGGCGTTTGCGCTGGCTTGGACAAGTGGCAAGAATGGAAGATCACCGGTTGCCAAAGTGTGTTCTCTTCAGTGAACTGCCTGCCCCGCGCACCGCGCATGGTCCACGCAAGAGGTGGAGGGATGTCAATATGGATGACTTTGCGTCGGTTGAGCCACGGGTACCAATATGTGGATGGTAAGATGCAGCCCAAAACCGTCCGGAGTGGCGTACCATTCCCCGCCGACCACCCTAGAAACCCTCTGCCGCTGGCTACGGTTGCGCCTGCGGCCGCATGTTCCATCGAAGCGGCGACCTGAAACGCCATCAGTCATTCTGTCGTGAACTGGAGAAATAACAATGCGCTATCTTTGCTACGCAATGGGCAAGGTCAAGGTCAAGGTCAAGGTGCGTGTGTTTGTGTGTATGTGTGTGCATGTGTGTATGTGTGTGTGTATGTGTGTGTGTGTGTGTGCAGGTATGTATGTATGTATGTGTGTATGTGTGTGTGTGTGTGCGTGTGTGTGTGTGTGTGTGTGTGTGTGTGTGTGTGTGTGCGTGTGTGTGTGTGTGTGTGTGTCCCATATGGTGCAGTGGTATGTGCAGCGATTTCCAATCGATAGGTTGCGGGTTCGATTCCCGACGATTATTGTCACACACGTCTTTCTTCTCTTTCTCAGACTCTTCCTGACTTTTCTTTCATTCTCCTGGGTGGTTACCAATAGCCAGTGTATGCCGGAGTATGTGGTGTGGTGTGTGTGTAGAAAAAGAAAAAAATGGAAAAATGAAAAATAGGGATTCACTGGCCAGAAAAAGTCACTTCAAACAGCTGTGTGGTGGATACCAGGCTAAAAATGGTGGCGGTCAATTCATCAGCCTTGCAAGCTGTTGAATGGTGTAATCCCAGCACAAGTTGCTATGTCTAAAAACATAGCTGTTCGCTATCATCGCTCCCGCGATGGGCATGTCTGAGGTCTGAGGTCTGAGGTGTGTGTGTGTGTGTGTGTGCCCCCCCCCCCCCCCAATTCATACAAGTAGCGTCTTCTTTCGGCTTGACAGTCAATCTGGACAAGACAACGGTAATGGCTGCTGGATATGGACTCACGGAAGCAGACCGGCCGCCCCTGGACGTGGAGGGTGAGGTGGTCGAGTGTGTAGATAGTTTCCGTTATCTTCGCGCTCTCCTCGACACGAATGGCCTATCCACCCCAGATATCAGCTCGCGCATTGCGGGTGCATCACGTGCATTTGGAGTCCTGCGCCAGCCGGTTTTCACTGACAGCAACCTCTCACTTGCTACGAAGCGGCTTGTGTACGGGGCATGCGTGTTGTCTCTGCTTCTGTACTGTGCTGAGTGTTGGGTGCCGTTGAAGCCCGACCTTGATACACTGTGCTCTTTCCATCTGCGCTGCATCCATTCCGTGATGGGTATCAGCCAACGGAATGTCTGGGACGAACGACTGACCAGGGTTGATGTTCTGGAGCGGTGGAATCCGAGTCAGCCCCGTGACATCCCCAGCCTGCTGACATCGCGCCGCATGGCCCGAGGTGGCTTGGTCGGCCTTGACAGATTATGCTAGGATAATTTTTCGCATAATTCCTACCAAAATCGAATAATCGCATAATTCGAGGCAAATTGCATACGAATCGCATAAAATTGGAATTATCCGCCTGTTCGTATCAAATTCCATACAGTTGTATTCTACAAGTACAAGTACAAGGAGATGCACCAGGAAGTCGTAGGTTTACGACTCCCTTGAGAACATGTCAAGTCCACTACAATGAGTGACGGTCGTAGTACTACTGTTGTGCGAATGCATGAGGAGCGTGCCCCGCGTCAACTACTGTTTGGCACCCTACATCCTGTCCGTCCAATGCGGCGGCCCGAGGAAAAGGTGGCGCGATGCTGCGCGGAAGGATCTGGCAGCGTTGGACATCGACGAATGGTATGACTTGGCCAAGGATAGACGGGAATGGCGGGCCGCTTACAATGTTCTGCCCCCGCCCGAACCCGTTTGTGAGCCCCTGCAGATACCTTGTGCCGAGTGTGGCCGTCTCTTCTCCAGGAGTGGTTTGCCTCGTCATAAATGCCTCGATGAGCGCGGCAAACCCGTATCAGAACAGAGAGGTAGCCGACAATGTGCTTCCTGCGAGCGCTGGTTTCGCAGTGCCGGAGGTTTGGCGGTCCACAAGTGCCCCAACTCCCGGATGCTCCCCGCGGCGTCGTCTCGGGCTCTGCCAGTACGTTACCGTACTGGCAGTGTTTACCAGGACCAGGACCAGGTGTGTGTGTGTGTGTGTGTGTGTGTGTGTGTGTGTGTGTGTGTGTGTGTGTGTGTGTGTGTGTGTGTGTGTAGGCATGGGTGGGGAATGCCAGCATTCTGGCTGGCAATATAGTCCCTTTTTCAGGTGGTATATTGCTGGCATTATAACACCATTTCACATGCAAAATTGGCATTACAAGCATAATTGCCGGTCAACAACGGTGTCATGCATGAAGCTGGCAAAGTCCAGTTCCGAAAATCGTGCATCTGAACCCGTCCGGCTTCGTCCGGAGTCTTGGCCTTGCAAATCAACCTTCTCAGGGGATTGTTTCAGACAACATGCTCACTGATGTTTAAGTTTTTCTTCTTCTACACTTCGGCCTTGATCCAAGACGGCCTTTTTAAATCGACTTTTCCAACTTTCAAACTGGCATTATGGAGTAGTGTGAGCATTATAAGTGGCATTTATAATTATCCTCATATTATGAGCATTGCCTTTAGCATTATCGCAGCAAACAAACTAGCATGACCCGCCCATGCCAATGTGTGTGTGTGTGTGTGTGTGTGTGTGTGTGTGTGTGTGTGTGTGTGTGTGTGTGTTTATCAAGATGAGCAGTTATGACTGAATCAGACAACCCCACACTGTTATTGTACTACATACACACACACACACACACACACGTGACCAAGGTTTTCAGCAGTAACTACATGTCACTTGCTGTCATTACCTGCAGTGTTGCTGGTCAACTGGTGTCTGCAAGGGTAGTATGGTCCACTCTAGTCAGGCAAGAACCTACTACGGGAAGTAGGAAAAGGAGCAAGGGAAAGAACGAGGGTTAGAGATTATGAGAGACGGGAAATCAGTCAATGAATGAAGTAGTGTTGTTCGAGGGTAGTATTGATCAGAACTACATGTTATCACAGTCCGTTGTCCAGATCCAAGCTGTGTACATCAACCCAGTGAATGTTAGAGACGGGACTTCATGATGTATTTACCTACTTTTCAGTATGGTGTGTGATGGTTGAGATGTCCGTATTGACTACAGACCTTGTGTGTTGTACAGTGTAAACCTTGATCGATCTCGACCTGGAGTAGGTGCAGTGTGACTACGACCATGAGCAACGTGTGTGTAAACAAAACCAACCTGGACACCAGTATAGCAGCAGTCAACGGAGAACAGGGACTGACTAAGGGATTGCATATCATTCACCATCCAAATCACATCATCGCCTGCGGGGACCATGCTGAAAATGCATTGCACAGAGCTGTCCAAACATACCAGACTTTGACATACGCTTGTCATACATCCGTGCTATGTGTCCAAGCTAGCCTAATCCATTCTCCCTGATGATGCCTGCTACTTTGTAGCAATCTATGTGGTGTGTGTTATTATTTTATATATTATTATTTATTCTTCTTTTACTAGGGAATTCCCAACAGGCGTCAGCGCCTTTTTACAGGGAACACTAGGTATAACTTGGTGGATGAGCGAAATTCAGCTGGTGAACTAGACATGCGGCAAGCCGGTGGAAGTGTATTCCACCTGGCAGCGCCCAAATAAGAAATTGCACTAAAGCCATATCGGGTGTTAGCGGTGTGGTGGCAGGTAGCAGGGTAGTGGAGATGACTTGATGGTGGCACTGCTGCTCTTGCCGTGACTAATGATCATACATGTACTGTAGATACTGGAAATGTAACAGATGTCTTCCCAGTACAACTCTCCACTATATACACTGGAGAGTAGTGAACACTAAATGTGATGTACACTTGACAT